TCTTTGTCCTCTTCGTTTTCTTTTACCTTCTCGTTTTCCTCATTCTCCTCATCTGCGCGACCTGGTGGTTGAGAAAGCTCCTGCGCTTCCTCCGGATTATCGCTGGGCTCCGGCAACGCCATGATCTCCGCCTCCCGAGGGAGTAACGTCCAATCCCCTATCGAATCCCCTTCTGGTGGGGAAATCGTCAACCACGCGAGGAGCTCCCCTCGCGCGCTCGTCAACTCCACCGCGTGCTTCGAACAAAGCAGCCGAACGACGTCCTCGTGGGATTCGCGGAGGAAACGGAGGAGCTCCTTTACCTCAGCGGTGGGAGGAGGGACGTGGGCGGAATGGGGAATCCGCTCTAAAAGAAGACGCGAATGAGGAGAAACGAGAATGCCGTTTTCCTCTTCTTTTTCTTCCTTGGTCGCGCTCTCATCGGCGGCGAATGATGCCGTCGTTGTGGGTGGAAAAGCCGCCCGTACGCGCTCTCCAATGGCCGCGACCAACCTCGCCGCGTCGTCGGGATGCATCCCTGGCGGGTGGCGACGATCCGAGGCGAACCCCTCTCCCTTCGTATTTCGCTCCAAAGGCGACGACGACGACGCCCCTGCCGGAGGAGGAAGGGGAAGGGGAAGCGAAGGATGCGGGTGGGTGGCCTCGCGAACCGCCGTGGCGTAGCCGGAGTGGCGATAGAACTCCGCTGATCCCACTGCCTCTTCCCCTGACGAGGGAGGCACGGCCAACCCTTCCATCGTGGAAGGCGTTGGAAGTAAACTTGGACGAGAGGGATCCCCTTGCCCGCCTCGATTTTCCCCCCCATGTGGGAGTAAAAATGGGTAGGAAGGGGCATAATAACGATCCTCCCCCCCGACAGGGTAGCTCGCCATTCCGTCTTCGCCGGTTTCTCTTCCATGAGAGACGGCCAGAGAGGGAGCTGTGGGGGTGGGGGTGGAGGGAGGGGCAGGATAGAAATACCCATACTTCCCTGCTTCCGTCATCTCCATCGCATTAGGGTGATAATAAGGGTGATCCACTTTATACCCCCCATAGGGATGATTCCCCCCAGGGTAGTCGTAACCCCCTGACTTCGAAGGAGGGGGGTTGTTATGAGGGGTTGCCATCATCCACGAAATCATCGGCTGCGGTGAAAGAAAAGCCCCCTCCTGCAACAACCCGTTATCCATCCCATCCTTCCCTCGATCCGCCCCACTCTCGATGGGAGGATACGGTTGAGGTGGAAAGCGCATTCCGGCCTCGAAAAGAGGAGGGAGAGCTCCTCCGGTGGGGGGATAAGGAGGATAAAACCCCCCTCCCCCTCCTGGCGGGATTTCGACAAGATTCGGCGGGGGCAAGGAAGGCATCACGGGCTCGTGGCCGCCAAACTCCCCGCCCACCTCCTCCCCCGCCTCATTTTCGTCTTCGACGAGGGCGGGAAAGGCGGAAAAAGATGGGGAAGGATCCTCATGGAGGTCCCCTCCTCCTCCATAAGGTGGTGCGTGGGGCTGCCAAAGGGGGTATCGCTCGAGTGGAGGCGAGGGAGGGGGGTAGGCGGGGTGGGAATACGACGGCGGTGGTGGTAACGGCGAGGATTCCCCCATCCCCTCCGACCCCCCCCCTCCGCCGGTTTGCGAAGGCGTTTGAAACGCGCGAAGGAGGTGATCAATGCGCTCCTCCTCGACGTCGTCGACGAACATGAGGCCGTCCGACTGCGGCGGCGGCAACGTCGATCCGGGAAACCCCTGCGAAGGGGGGTCGCGCGTTAACAGGGGAGGGGGGTTCGCGCCGCCCAAAAGGGGATCCGCCTCGTCGAAGATATCCACCTCCGCCTCGGCGTGGATCGCCCAGGAAGGCGGCGGCCCCGCCGCGGCGGATCCCCTGGAGGAGCTCGAAGAAAGCGCGTCGTCCTCCTCCGCGTGGTCGTTCTCCTGCAGGTCGTCGTCGTCGTCGTCGTCGTCGTCGTTTTGGCTGCCGGGCTCCTCGCCGGGATCGGGGCCGTGCACCCGTCCACGGAGTCGTCGCGCCTGCTCCCTTTCTTTTTCGCGTTTTTGGATGTAATAGGGGATGCCTTTTTTCAAAAACTCGTGCGGGCATAACGCCATCGTGACGAGCACTCCATAACGCTCGAAAAGCGCGCTTTGAAACATAAACGAGCAAAACGGGTTCCACAAAAAGGAGTACACCGTCTCCGGGCGTTTTACGGGAACGTAAAAGACGCCCGGTTCATAACCTTCGATAACATTAATATCCCCGGTACCGCTCTGGCGAAAGGGGTTTAGAAGCTCGCTGATATCCGCCTCGGAGATGCCTTTGCCGTCGTGCATGCGAAATTTATAATCGGTGATCTCAAACGTCGCGCTCGCGGGGTAGTCATAGATCGGAGGGCCGAACCCTGCCGGGAAACCCACCGCCTGAAGTTGCTCTAAAATCCTCGACGCCAACCGCGCATCCTTCGCGAAAGTCACGACTAGCTGCGAGAGCATACTCCCTTTTTTAATAAAACGCAATGTCGTCATCGCGGTGGAGGCGTTTTGATATTTCATGAGCTCAAACAGGTACTCCACCATCTGAACCGCGTAGCTGCTCGGCGTCATTCCCTCCGGCAACATCCCTTCCAGCATCAACACAAGACAAGGGGAGGGCTCCTCGCTTTGAATTGTTTCCATTTGGGGGGGAAACAAGCGGAGTTCATTGATCGTGGCGGGGAGATCAAAGCGAATCTCCCGCCATGATCGCGGTGGCGTGACGTTATGCGATTTAATCAGCCGACGATAATACGCGAGGACCTCCGATTCCGTCGCCTCCTCGCCAGGGGGGTTGTAATCGGCGAGGATTTGCGCTTCTCGACGGGAATGATGAGGGCCGAGGGCTGCCACGCCTGAAGTGCTCGGCAAAACACCTTTACGATCGTACTCCTCGTCATCATCAGGATCGTCGTTATCCGGGGGGTCGGCGAGCTCTGAGGTGGGGTTTGTAACGTTCGTTTGAGGGGGGTCTTGCGGATTGGGCTCGTCATACCCGCCGCCGACGCCCTCCACAGAGGTTTCGCCGTAAACCGCGGTGAAATCGCCATCTTTGGGATCGCCAGAGGGGTCAGTTCGCCCGACTTCGGCCTCCGGTGCGTACGCGGGGGTATCGGCGTAATAGGGGTCCCCCCCCTGAGCGGCAGGTTGGGGTTGGAAGCCTTTCCGATGGAAATTGTACATCCGAGATCGATTGGCGATGAATAGTCTCTGACTTTCCTCTCTTCCACTAATAAATAAATAAATATATATATCTTTATATATATATAATATCTATTTACCTATCTATATATAAATATATAATATATATGAATGTGGGTGTGTATATGTGTACAGGTATTACAGCGTTAAGCACAATATTTATGTTTTAAATCAAGTTGACTACGTCGTATTGATGCCTTAAACTTGGATACACAAAACGCGTAAGACTAGACCATATAAAAGGAAGGGATAGTCCAGGTTCATAAGATGTATGATGAAAAAAAAACTCAATAGAAACCACGAACATCCTATAGTCCATCTTTTTTTGTACATGCAGAAGCTACCCAAGACAGCAACACTATTGTGCATATTTTTTGAAAGAAGAATTGACCTCTAAGCTCCAGATTTAAAAATACAAATAAGATGTATTCAATAAATCCATACCTTGTCTTCCTCAAATTTGTGCGGAGAGAGTAGCCCTATATAATTTTCAACAACTCAGTTGAAACACATTTTTGTGTGGAATTACAAACCTAAATATCAATACAAAGATTAAAAGAAATCATTAATTTCGGAAAAAAACAATCTGAGCGAATAATTTGTTACAGAAGAATTAAACATCATGGAGTAGTTAAAGTAGGTCAGGAAGGAAGAAAGCTCACAACGTATGAGACTACATTGATGGTGAAAAATAGATAAAATTGAAACCGTGATCGCGTAATTCACTGTCTTCATATCGGCATTCAACCTCGTTTTATATATTTGAAGTGCACAGATTTCTGGAAAATCACTATTCCGTTGGATATTTCCATTACGATAATAACAACGTTACATCTATATATATATATATATATATATATAAGTAAGAAATAATAAATAA